GCATAAATGCTATAGGTGTTGCTAATCCAGTAGGCAAGTTATCTGACCCCATGCTACAGTTGTGTGAATGGGGACAATGTGTTGTGGGAAGTACTGTCCTTTGGATAGGACATTAGATAGAGGTCCTAACTACTTGATCATTAAAGATCCCATAATACCTTTGGAAAAAGTAGGTATGCTAACTCCAGTGTCACTCTAGGTTTCTACATTCTGACTTTCCTTAAGTTCCCCCTTGCTTCAATGATGAGGCAATTACCCACTCCTTTACATGATCTGCTGTGTACTGAGTGCTAGCTTCAGTATTGGAAAATCCCCTGCCAAACGTAAAGAGGTTTGGGGAACCTTTGGAATGAAATTTGCCACATAAATATGAAGAATATATCAGTATCGAAACAAACTATTTTTTTCATTCTTGTTTTATTTTTACCTAAAAGCAGTAAGGCTTAGGACAAGGGAATGTGTTGACTAAAACTTGTTTCTGTTAGAAGACACTTTTTTTTTGCATAACAAGTCACTCGTTATGATGAGGTGTAGAATTAGTAATATATAATTATTGTGGAGTGAATCTCACTGCACTTTTCTGGGTATTCATGCTGTCCCCCATTGCACACATTACTGTATGTATTTTGTTTTGTTATGTATTTTGTCTCATTTGGTGATTACAAAGTTAATATATATATATAATACAGTATTAGCCCTTTATGGTTCTTCTTCTTTCTGCTTTATTCATTTTGGAGATGTTAGGATAATTAGTAATAAGTTTAGAATTTAGATTAAGGTATGCTATGGTAAGGATAAACAGTGCGCTTGCAAGACCACATGTAGAATATTGACTACATGTTTATATTGCCATTGAACAAGAAAGAAATCTATTTCTTTATAATCAATTATTTCATGGACCTGAGGGCTTTAATGAAAAGTAAGTTGTGTTTTTTGTGGCGAAGCCAGAAAGCACGTCTTTACAGAAGGTGTTGTGGAGTGCGTGAAATAAGCTTATGCCACCGTATTTTTGAATCGCTTCCCTGAATTGGCATCTTTCAGCAAAAAGGCTAAACGAGATCCACTGATCATTAAGCTAGAAGCAACCAAACAAGAAAAATAACCCCAAATAATTGTTTATAGCTTTTAATGTTCTAAAAGTTTTTTTTATTAATATTGTATACAGTTTTGGAAATGTCTGAGATATGATTACCACATTAAGAATCTATGTCTCCAAACAATGGAATAAAATAACGTGTATCGAATGCTTATTCAGAGCAACAGCTGAGGTTAAGCTGCTTCAAAGACACAGTGAAGTACTACTGTCCTAAAATATTACGGAAAATGGAGGCTAACATCCTAAAAGTGAGTGTAATGCTCTTTACTTTGAAGTACAAAACCTTTTTCAGATTCTCAATAATGATAAAAGCTGAGGCTTTTAAATACTGTAACACTCAATACTATAATAAGCGTATTCATAAAACGTAACGTACTGTTACATGAACACGAAAGCGCTGGGAGGTGACTGATATTTTGGAAAGTATTTCAAGAGTTACAACAAGACATATTTCCTTTTTAATGTTTTTTAACATAATGATTAAAAACATGAGTACGCCCCTAAATCATGCAGAAAAGCGTGGTACAGTATAAAGATGCACTTTTTGCAGAACTCTGCCACTTGCAGTTACTGTACTTGCAGTGGTTCGTGTTTTAGTAATGTCCCGATACCATTATCATAAATAAGCAAACTTATAAGTAAATGGGTAAATTGGGAGTAAACTCTAACTTTATGTTGTTTTACAATCACGTGTCGAATACACAGAGTCCTGGAACGTATGTATTCTATTATTTTGGAATCACAGTTATTTTTTCGGTTTACCCTCAAGTTAGAATTGTCGATTTTTGCAGGTAAGAATTGTCAATGGATACGGCACTTGAAAAATTAGGTATGTTATTGTGTCATGATTCAGACCAATTTGTTAAGTGGTAATCTGCGAACTCCGTCGTGCCCTGTCTGGCAGTAAGTATAGTTTGATGGAGCGATGCGTTTCATTTTGACAACACCGCCAGCTCGCAAATCAGAGGAATCGCTTTTGAGCTAAAATCCGAAGACTCTAGCGGTAGTAGTGTAAGCAGGTACAACGTCTGCTGTACAGGGGTCAGCTTTGCTATGAGCGACCCATTCTAGAGATTGAGCCAATCCTCAACCCGTTTTAAAGGTGTGCTCTTTTTTATTGAAAACATAGGTCTAGGGGCAATGCATTACAACCCGGTTTATACTGTATATGTATGCGATTTAAATTCCGTTAATTTTTTTTTTCATTTGTGGTCTTAACCGGACAAACATTCAAGGCAGTTTTAACTTTGATAGGCGCAGGTCATAGTGTTCGACTGTATAACAGAATAAAATCACACCCGCACTAGAATGTTAACTGAAAGTCAATGATTAACTACAGTCCTCGGGTGAGGAATTAGCGTATTTCAAAGTAAATGTAAATGCGAGTTAGCGAGAATGATTGCTAATGATCTTGGTGTCCTAGAGTCTCATTAATGTTATTCTACTTGGAATTCTGACTGGACCCTTTATTGGACTGTATTCTCCCACAACATAGAACATGGTTATTGCACAATAGTTTGATATTTTCCCTGACCTCATTGAAGTTACTACGATTTTTACCAGATTAGAATGGAATCTGACACCTCTATGTGCATTGCATTGAGATTGTATCTGCAAATAATACCGTCTGGAGAAAAAAAAAATGAAATCGTAAATGGCAGTTAAGAATCGCACGCCTGCTAAGCATTTCATTCTTTGGAAACGTTTTCACGCCCCTCAATGCCTATTCTCGTGTTGTTTTGGAGAGGTTATTTACCGTGTAAATGGTGATTTGTTTGGCTATAGTACGGATACAGGGTCGGTGACAGAGGTCTGGCAGACTCCCAGTATGAGATCTTTAGTTGTGAAAGAAAGTCTCAACGAGACATAAGTAGTAATTTTAGTACGCGCTTGAGGAGCTATCCATTCAGCACCACCGCCCGTGGACGCGTCTCCAAGTCTTAGCGCATAAATCTCAGAGGTGTCACAAAGAAGTGGGGGGCTCTTGTAAATTAAGAAACAATATGACCAGAAAGACTTTTTACTTATCTCTGGGGGATTCTGGGTAACCTTGCAATCTGGCACTCTGTTACCCTTCAGATGAACTTTTCTAAACCGTTCCTAAAGCTATCCGTTGACTTGGCAACACTTTTGTAAACATACACACAGTGCATTAGTGCTTTATTTGGAATTGAGTGAAATTAATAATTTATGAATAACCACATTATATTTCCCAGATGGACAGTTTATTTATTTATTTAAAAAAAACATGCTTTAATACGATGTGATTTGCCTTTAAAAAGAGCTGCTGATTCCTTACTGAAGATTACCCTTGCACAAATACGGGTGTAGTGTCTGGCTGTTTATAGTTATGAATGTTGGGTTAACCTGCAGAGACAACATTCCTTCAGCGAATACTACTGTTGTATAATATTAAAAGCGATCATATATTTACTAGGGGTTTACACGTTTCTAATATATACTAGATAGAAATTCGTTGTTAAGTATTTGAGTTTTGTAGAACCTGTGTTTTGAATGCTGTAATTACATTACTAATTGGGGTATTAAAAGGTTATTGGGACTAATAGTGCCGCATCCCAGATTGGAAGCAAATACTTCACAATTTAACTCATGATTTGGTCTGAACATAGTTCGAACCAAAATATGTCAGTCAATGTAAATTAACTTGAAGCGAAAAAAAAAAGATGAACTGAAAATATACAAAATTTTTCGTATTTTTAAAATCGTATTTTAAATGTTTAAACCTTTTCTAGACATTTTTTTTAAACCTTTATTACCGGAAATCCAATAGCACCAGTGAACAATGTTGGAAAGATGTTTTCTTAGTGAGATTCAAATGAGATTGTATTTCTCTTTGCGAAACTTCGAGTATCTGCCTTCACTGTAATAGTGCACTATATCGTAAAAGTGCATTTCCCCATTAAAAGCAAAAATTAAATTGCAGTAACTCTACATTAGATTACTTTTAAAACGAAATACAAATATAGTAAGCTAAAAGAAACAAAATCCAATCACGTGGATTTCTAGTTTGGAAGAAATACTTCAGTTATTTCATTTTCATGAAAACTTCGTATGACTTTCATGCTCGTTCGCCCTGTCTCTCTTATTTTACTGATAATCATTGATACATGAAAAAAGGCTTTTCTTCCATGCCATCACTTCGCCTCCCAAGTTTCCTTACCCTCCAGTGATTTCATTCATCTGACAATAGTTAGCATCACAATGGACCCTTCTCTCAAGGGCCTCTTTGTGAACATGATGCTTAAAGAGGACTACGGATTTCTGCTTCTACAAAGGGACTCTGACTTTTTTTCCCTCGTGCTTTTTAAATTGCAGACAAACTTACAATATATTTGCGATGGAATGTACTAGAGTATTACTGTTATTTACACTTCAAGTCTGCAAATAATCTCACTCCTCTCACATTTTATTGGAAGAAAATAGGCTACTGGCGTAGTCTTGTCATTTTGCTCCACTTTGAAGGGTAAGTGTGATAGATTTAGTCAGGTCATATACAATATAAGCATTTGTAACTTTCAATTGTAATAATAACATGAAGCGAGAAGAATAACAAGATGGAAATTTACTCACGTGGTATATTTAGGAAAACATAAGCAAAATTATTTCTTTATCGCAATAGTTTATTGGCTATACCAGATATTTTAGCAAAAGAATCACAGAAACGAAAATAACGCTCTTATATACAAAATATATAGAAATATGATTTAATAAATATAACAATTGATTTACATATATTATCCCCTTGCAGTAAAAATTGCCGTTTGTTGAGAACAAATCTATATTAATCATTCATGGAAAAATTAAGACATTTCACATTTTTTTCAAAGAAAAAAAAAGAAAAAAAACAATATTTACACATTATTTCATGAGGATAGAGAAGAATTGCTTCCTTAATGTTGCCATAGCACTGCTATTAAAACAAACATTTAAAAGTGCATTTTGTTAGAAGACTACAGCTTCAAGGTTTAAGGCAAAGTGAACTGAAATAAGACTGGTAAAAAATAATATACAAATATACAGTATATACTACTTTTAGAAAACACTCCTCATCACAAAATACAATAGTTTTCTGATTAGAACCTGCAGATACACCGGTCGTATTTTCTTTATACTTCGTATAGGTTTCCCACGACGAATTCTAAAGCAGAAGGATCGCGAGAGTATATTTTCTTTTACAGGAGATTCCATGTTAAATATAAACTGGGAAAGAGGAGCTATGCATTGTCTGACTGTTGTGCATGTTGGCATTACAATTGATCTTACTCGAGTAGCAAGAAAACCCCTCTTCGACCAATATGTCGGGGCTGTGGCCATCGGCGTCATGAGAGGATGGCGAGTATGTTGAGGAGTCCCACTCAGAAGAGCAAACACTGGTCGGGCTGGCCAGGTCCATCATGCAAGAGCTTGGAATATGAAAGAAGGATTCTCTGTCCTCGTGGTGGTTTGGAATCAGGCGACACTGGTCCGCCATCCTCAGTGTTTCGGTGAGAGCCCAAATGTAGTTATGAGCGAATCTCAGGGTTTCAATCTTAGTGAGTTTGGCATCGTCTGGGAACGTTGGTAGAACGCTTCTCAGTGCATCCAAGGCAGAGTTCAAGTTATGCATACGATTCCTTTCCCTGTCATTAGCTTTCACTCTGCGGTTTTTCTTCTGTTTTGTTACCAAGCCCTCACATTTCACTTTCGATCTTCCTCTTTTGGTTTTTGGTCTTTTCTCCTGAGGTGCCTGAGTTTGGCTTGGCGAGGAATCCCCAGTTTCCTCCGGGTCGTCCCCTGACTGAAAGCTGTCTGTCAGTTCGTCTGGGAAGGACTTTGTCACAGAGGTGCAGGAAGGACTTGGGGATTCAAAACTTAAAATGCTCCCTTCGTCTTTGGAGATCCCAAAGTAGAAGTCTCGTGCTCCAGTTAGAGTACAGCCAGTCTTGGGCGACATCCTGTAACAAGCAAAAAATTGCGTTAAAGAAATCGAAACAGCACTTTAAACCGCGTCCCAATTATGCTATTGCAAAATGATTTAAAAGAGTACATTCTTATTCTATATCACAAATCACATAACAAAGAAAAGTACTAAAAGTGTTGATTTTAGTTTTTTGATTATTATAATGCAAAACAGCATTTTTGCCTTGAACATTTGATATCAATCCTTTCAAAGTTGTCCAACATCAACTACCTGAAAGAGACTTGAGGTGGAGGACAAAAGCTTCGGAGTCGTGTGGACGAACAAGTCTTATCAATATTGTCCTTGGCTCTTCTTTTTGCCGTTACTTCAAAATGCAGAACTGTCAGTTTATGTTGAGTGCGGTCTCGTGAAGGGCTGTGCGTCTGGCACACGACTCCCCGTGTCCCCGTTATATAGGACTCGGAGACAATAGGGATTTGATGAGCAAGCCAGAGTGTGCCCTTTTTGGCATTTTTTTTTTATCTTATCAGCCTGCCTGGAGTGTGCCTGAATCATTAGCGCCTGGGAAGTGACCAATCAGCGCCTGAGGCTAGGCAACCTAGCCACGCGAGTCCCTTCAGTGGCTTCTTTTCAACCTAATTACTCCACTCTCAAGGCGCAACAAAGGCAAAGACCATAGTTGAGCAACTTCTAGGAACTACAAGACGCGAGAAAGAAAATGAAAAGCCCCTTAAAGAAAAAGTGCAGTTGTACCTAGTTTTGCCTCCTGAATATATAAATCAAGGACATTTGCGATATGTAACACATTGTTTCATGATCAAATTCACAAACTAAGGTGTCTAGGATGTAAGTAATAAATATGTATATTTATTTCCTGTAGTGTTATTATTCTGATCCAAAAGGACACCAATCACTCTGCCCAGCTGTCCAGTATATAGGTTTTATTAGATTATTATAGATGGCGATTTTTTTCATGAGATCGTGCCATTTTTTCAATGTGTTCACCATCTGAATTAAGTAACAGATTAAATACTTTGCCCTTGTTATTTGGAAAAAAAAAACGCCATCTCCCGTTCCATTGTACAGTACTTGGAGCGAAGCTCTAATTATTTTTTACAGATACTGTACGAGCTGGAATACTATACATGCAATTGTGCATGGGTCACCTACATTGCAATGAGGTGGATGGACCGTTATTTTTGTAATTGCATTGTAAGTTATCTTGGGGCATTACGGAGAAAATTACAATTTTTATACCGTAAACGGAGCGTATATTAGTGACCTGAGAATTATTTTTATTAAAAGTGTGCTTTATAAGAATGAATGTAATTGATCGACTTTGCTTCAGAGCCTTTTGTAGGTCCCCTCCACTTCCAAACACGGTTTCAAGTATTTGTTATAAGATTTTTACTATTTTTCTTAAATATGTAGAAAGAAAGCAAAGTCTCAAAAATATCAGCATTTGAACATATACTGGACAGTAGGTAATGATGAAACATATAATTTGAATTAGCATTCATTACACTCAAATATAAAGGATTTTATGTTGAAATCTTTTTAAAAAATAGAATTGACTTTTCTTGAAGATTAATTTAATTTGAGAAAACTTTGGATGTATTTCCAAATAAGACTATAGCATATTTATTGGAAAATTTCAAGTGCGTATTAAAAGAAAATAATTGGTGCATTTTCTGTGATCCATATGCATTGCTCTTACAAATCCTTGTACTCAAGAACTGTATTTTTTATATAACACTAGATCTATTTGAAGAAGGGGCATCCTTTTAGAGTCTTGCTGTTTAATGGGTTGTTCAATAAAATGCCTTGCCTAATGTATAGTACCTTACATTGTCTGTCCCAGTGAATTCAGTCTTTGTATGTTCAAAGTAAATCTCTTTTCCTTAATTTGGCAGAAATATACTTTAAAGAAATGATTAACACAAATTAGAGGTCCCTCTGAGTACTGTGTGTTCTCAAGATAACATTAAATGTATATTATGTGAATGTACAGTATAAACACACCCAACCCAAGCTGTGCAATGCTTTTATTAAGCTCTAGAGTTGTTTAGATTGGTAACCCAGAAATAATTCTGCTTTCTATACAATGAAAGACATAAACACCTGCTTTCCTCTTCTTAAAGTAAATAAGGGTAGAAAAAACCTGCATGGCCAGTGAAAAGTATGTATTGTCTATTTCCACAGTCCCAAAAAAACAATGCACAACCTTTCCATGTACTATGCTGCAAGGACCGCATCTTATTGTCATGTATGGCCTATTTTACACTGAAACACACTTGCTTTCAGTGACGGAGAAATAAAAAGCCTATTTTAGATTGGCATAATTTTGATAACTTCTCTGACATACGCAATGTACTGTACTAAATCACCTATACTCAAAACTTCTCTCAAATGGATGGAATGGTGCAGAATATTTCCATGTATTTTTTTCTCTTCCATCAGACAAACTACTGTACACATCTTTTAATGTATTTTAAACCCCTTAAGCTTAAAATTATTTTAAAAATATACAACTCATTTGAATCACAAGGGCATAATTAAAAAAAAATAAAGAAGAAATGGAATTTATGTCAAGTTCCTAAGCAAAGAACTGTCCCTATTTTAGATGTCAAAAGCATAAAGACCCAAGGAGGATGGTAGAAAACAGAAACCTCTCTTTAAACAAACAGTTTAAATTTGTCCTTCTGTAGTTTTATTACTATACCAAACAAAGAAGGATCCCAGTACATGTTTTTATTTTTCCAATTCCTTCATTGTTTGTTTCTCATACATAATTCCTGGATAAACCCATTTTTAAAATATTATTATGAAAAAATCAATTTCAAATATTCAGATGGGTTAGTGGGATGATCTCATTGTGTTGATTTGTGAGTTGTGCAAATTCATTAGTAAGTTTGTGGTGACCCATAATGTTTTGTGCAAATTATTTACCTGTCTGCTCTGTATATTGCTGTTGCAAACATACTGTATCTTGCATTTCTTCATTTAGTACTGAGAACATTTTGCATTGGTACAATGTAAATAAATGTTTACCCTGTATCAACTACTTGATCCAGACTAACACAATACAATCTTTTTGTACAGTAATTTTTCTTTAAATGGTTTTGAAGCACAATTAAATGCTCTTGACGATGGACTGAGATAATATTCTATGGCTGAAATAGTATAACCCCATGGTCAAGAGAACAGAATCTCTGTAGGTAATTCAGTCACCTTCCCTGGGTAGAACAATCTTTGATTCTTCACCCTATTAACAAATGGTGGAAATGTTTATTAAATCCCATACAATGTTTTCCTTATCATAACCTCAACTGCAGGTAATTCTGCTAGCGCAACATGACATGACTAGAATGTACATTTTAAATTTGGACTGATTATGGAACAGATACCACATCCAATTCAATGTAATCCTGCAACCCAGTATTTAGTAGTCATTCCTCAAATGTTGGCTAGTGGAGGTAGGACTTTAACAACTATTTTATGGTGTGCCTTGCAGAAAAAAAGCAGGGATATTTTGCACAAGCACAGCTATTTGTTAAGCAGGGCAATGTGTTGTAAATACATGGCTATTTGTAAAGTACAGATGGACTTTATACAGTATATAAATACAATGCCCACAAAGTTTCTTGTAAAGAATCGAAACAATATACTTCTGATTTCTGTGGAAGGATACATAAAAACGTCCATTGTGATGTTAAAGGTTGTAAAATATTCTTAACGAATTCATTTAAGGCCTCATATACAGTAAAGCCTAAAGGATTGTACTCTGCAGGATCGGAGTTGTAGACACCTGCGCAGGACTCCTGCTGCTCTCTGTGCATCTGCTACTTCTTCAGATGTCTGCAGAGTTGCAGCAACGTCAGTGAGAGACACGCTGCTCCAGCAAATCTGTGCCAACTCTCCTGTTTCATTTGAGCTTTGACATTCTCACAGTGCAGTATCGGAAACTTTTTAGTATTTATAAAAATATACAAATTTGGGCAGTTAACCCAAATGGATGCCAAGTTGCCATTCACAGACACTCCATAGTTAAGAGTTTAGTTTTATACATTGTGATATGGAGTACTGTATTTTCAAAACTAATTCTGTTTTACGCTTAGCTCCAAAGTGCAACAGCACATTAGAGTAATTGCTGCTTCTAACCGAGATGGAAACAAATGTCAATTCCAAATTCAGTGTGCGTAATGAAACATGCAAAACTGAATTGGTTAAAATTCATGCATAAACTCAAAGCAATGAGTGTTTTATAAAGTGAATGTTAAATGAATTGTTTTTTCTTCAAATGCATTCATTATTTTGCATACAGTATATGTCATGACTCAAAATATATTATTCCGATTGCAAATCATTGCGGTTACCAGTCGAGTGCAGGAACTTCCCTAGAATATTAAAACAATCTTTTCTAGTCAATTACAAAATAATGTGTTTATATTGTTTTCTAAACCTTTCATGTTTAAGTCAGGTTAGGGTCACAAAGAATGTTAGATTGGTGGTCCACCAGCTCGACATGTTTTAATGTAATCTAAGAGATTTGGTCAAGAATGGATGCACACAGATAACTCAACTACTTTCTTACAGACTGCAGTGCATTTTGATTATTCAGTAGATCCTCTCTATAACGTAACCATACTGTATGTCTATTTTATTTAAATATATTGTTTTCTAGTTTTCTGAAACAACACAGCAAAAATGAACCACTGAATAGCAGTTGAGATATTAAACATATAATGAGATATTATATTAAAAAATATGCATTACATACTGTAAACGATGATTTCACGATAACTGTTCATTTTGGTAAATTATAACATAATGAACACTTATACTGAATGTATAATTTGAGAGATGTTGTATTCACCTACTGCATGTTACAGACACAAAACATTACGTAAAAATCAAAATACATTAATGGTTTATAGTATATTGATTCATCTTCTTAATGCCAAAATTGAATGGAAATTTATTTATTTTGCTAATTAAAACAAATCACAAAAAGGGTAAGAGGTTTTAAAACAAATTTATTTAAACATTAAATATTAATTCTAACGAATCAAATGTTAACTACCTCCGAAAGAAGTTCGAAACAAAATCAACGCAGCAACTAAAATATCGGAGAGGTAAAACGTACTGAATCTGCAAATCTCAAACACTTTTGTTACGAAATTTTACATCGTCCTTTTAATAGTGCACATATATGTATATACCGAAAAGCATACCTTTTAGTTCTATTTATTCAGATTTCTGCCTCGAAAATGCAGCAAAATATGTTTCCGTAGGCTTCTCGGTATGGCTACTGCTTGTAATTGATCCTAATTTGCTTCCCATTATCCAAGCAAGCAAAATCATACATCCCGGTACTGGAGTGTCCAAAGTGGATAAAGCATGTCAACACATTTTTATCATACTAGCATTTATGCGTTCTAATTACCAGCAACTCGGATGTTTTTGTTTAAACCGATTAAAGACATAAGAAAATCTTTGGAAAGTATGTATTCTTTTCTATTGCATTTGTTCGTGTTTGAATGACTTATTGTTTTGAAATGCGCAAAATGTGCCAAACTTAACAGCAATTACGCATTTAATTATTCTTCTTTCTGCGACCTTAACTCTATATTTACTTCAAAGTAGCACATGTAAAAAACAGTGGGGAATGTTCTCTCAGACTTTAAGCAAGTAGGTAATTATTATTATTAACTTAGAACCTCAGGTGACCTAACGGTAGCCCTTTGAGAACAGACGTTTGGCACAGGTCTACTTTGTTATGTTTTTTATCAAAGACTTAATGTGGTCAAAGAAACATAAGTATGAGAA